CCCCCTGGCTAGGGGGATTGGCCCCTCACGCATGCACGTGGCATGGACCACTCCAGCAGGGTGCCATGTCAACACAGAACCCTCAAACAAGGTTCAAGAACTGATTAAAATACCCAGAAGCACAGTCAATATCAAGGTTATTTAACACTGAAAACTCAATTAAGTCTAGCTAAGTGGAGGTGTCAATACAAGACACCTACCCCTACACGTTGCTTTTGACAGCTGGCCCCCAGCAAACCACCAGCAGGTTGGCCAGTGCCTGGGCAATGTCCCCAGCCTGGCCCTAACGGAGCTCCCCCTGGGTTTAAGGTCGCCGCCTTAGCCAATCTGGCGGGCATGTTTTTGCGAAATCGCTCGGATATCAACCCCAAAAATGCTCCAGGAAGCCAAATTGTCTCATTTTTGGCCTAAACATGCAAGACCAGTGGCCCCTTGTCGTTTGGGGTGCCTGCCAGGGGCCTTTTGCCCTCAAGATTATCGAGACCAAAAATGCTTCAGGAAACCAAATTGCCTCAACGCTGGCCTTAATATGCAATACCTGTGGCCCCTTGTCCTGTGGGATGCCTTTTGCCCCTTAACAATTTTGACCGTGTTGGCAGAAACATGCCCGCATTGACTCAAATACAGCCCCAGGGGTCAGAAATCCTCTGACCACCCCCGTGGTTAGGGGATTGGCCCGTTACGCATGCACTTGGCATGGACCACTCCAGCAGGGTGCCATCTCAACACAGAACCCTCAAACAAGGTTAAACAACTGAGTAAAATACCCAGAAACACAGTCAATATTAAGGTTATTTAACACTGAAAACTCAAATAAGTCTAGCTAGGTGGAGGTGTCAGTACAAGACACCCTCCCCTACCCCCTGTTTTTGACAGCTGGCCACCAGCAAACCACCAGCAGGTAGGCCAGTGCCTGAACAACGTCCCCAGCCTAGCCTTGACGGAGTCTCCCCTGGGTTTAAGGTCGCTGCCTTAGCCTGGATCCGGGCTGTGCGCGGATTCAGGCAAAATCCTAGAGGGCATTTTTTGCGAAATCGCTCAGATATATGTCTGGATTTATGAAAACGGTGTTTAAGAAATCAAGCGCGTTTTTTCTTGCCAGAGACTCTCTCCAAAGTAGACGATATAAGAATTAAAAGGAATGTCAGTCCATTATATTTTTTCCTCCACTCTCTTATCTCCCTTTTCTTGCTATCCTCTCTCTATTTTTTTGTTTTTTTTTCCTCATCGTTTGGAGTGAATTTAACTGAGGCTTTTTGGAGGTGTGAAATCAAAGTGCATACGGCTATTTTGGTGGAAAGTCTTTAACACGGTTTTCATGAATTCAGTCACACATATATTTATATATTTGTAAAATTATAAATGTATGGGTAAATTAAGTTATTGCTCTTGTTATCAAAGTACGGTCACCACGAAAACATCCTTTTCCAAGAACATAGACAAACCACACCACTGGCAGCCTTTAACGTGTATAAGGTTAACGCTGAAGCCATGACGATGAATCTACTTGAACTTTAATGAATAAGGTGTCGTCAACAACAAAGCTTTTTGTCCTGACGTCATTATGTGATACAAATTGTGGGAATCCAAAGCATGAACCGGTATCATGTTCTACAGGCTTTTTAAAGCGTTTTTGAGTTGGGTCTGCAGTAAATCCATAAACAACGTTTCGTCGTTGATTTGGATCATCTTGCTGATCGATTAACGTAATTGTTACTCGCTTTGAGAACCCCCAGGGTAATATGGCGTCATATTCACCTTTCATTATACAAATAAATATGGAGAGATGAGTGTGCTCTCCAGCGCCATTGCCATTTGGGTACATGTTTAGCATCAATCTGTAGCCAAAGGCGTAAAACGGATCGCTGTCAATGTCCATCTTTTCATTGTTTTTTCCTTGCCTCAATTTGTCTTCAAAGCTTGTTATCTTCCATATAAAAATGCGGGATTTCTCTGTATCCACCTCTAATATCAATAGTTTATTGCTAAGGTCAGTGTTAAACGAATTAAATTTGTCATCAAGTTCCTTCTTTACCATACCCACACTCTCTCTCTGCAGGCGCTGAAGAACACGTACTTTGTCATCTAGTTTCTTCCGGAATCTATCTTCAAGATCCTTCTTTACCATACCCACATTCTCTTTCTGCAGGCGCTGAATAACACTTACTTTGTCATCTAGTTTCTTCTGGAATCTATCTTCAAGTTCCTTCTTTACCATTCCCAAATTCTTTTCATGCAGGTTCTGAATAACACTCAATTTTTCTTCTAGTTTCTTCTGCACTCTATCTTCAAGTTTCGTCAAGTAAAACGTTAAAAACACCAGTCCCAACACCAAACAAACTAAAAATATTTTGCGCTCCATACTTATTTTCTGCTCTAGATTTGTTTGGCAAGTTTTTACTTTTTGTTCAAGCTGATCAACCCTCCGTTGGTGTTCCTGTTGGCAAGTTTTTACTTTTTGTTCAAGCTGATCAACCCTCCGTTGGTGTTGCTGTTGCAGGGAATCTACTTCGTATTGATGCTGGTGTTGAATATCAGTTGCTTTATCAAGTTGCTCGTCTAAGATATTTACCCTCTCTTCAAGTCTGTCAAAATGTGTGATCTTCCCTTTTACATTTTCCTGGGTGTCCCTTAACTCACCGCACGCCAAATCGAGGTGACTTTTAGTTGCACATTCAAGATGTGATTCGAGTTCATCTCTCTGCACCTGAATATAAAATGCTATAATTTAAACTATTTCCTCCACAAGAACAAAGCTACTGCTTCATACCTATTATACTTGCAACGTTTCCCTCCCTTTTAAGCCATGCTCGGTTTTTCTTCTTTTAGCGTTAAAAGATTTTCTGATTTTAGATCGGGCGATCGGTCGGAGTGAAAACCAAGTTCAAAGACAAAAATAACAAAAAGGTAAGAAGATAAACATGGAACTAGGAAGTCCGAAACAGAGAAACGTTGGTCACGTAACGACAAAAGAATCCTTTATTTTAAATAGTTTGCAAAAGAAAGTGAATCAGTTCCATAACAAGGATGGAGGCTCTGTTGTAACAAACACAGCATAACACAAAACTTAATTTAACCACAAAGGTATGAACATTTTTCCGGCTCTAACAGTTGAAGGAACAGATAAATATATAAAACTGAGACTGATAAAAACCTCAGAAACTGAGGCCTTGTTTTCACGACAACCGTTGTCTCGCTTGACATTCCTGAAGGTGTTCTGTTTACAGACTCCGTTAAGCGGCTTAAAAATGAGAAGAGTTTTCACAAGTAAGATTGCATTTCATTTAGGTAATTTGAGCAGAGCGCGATCGCAAATAAATCAATTTGAATATTATGGCGGGAGATCCAAAGGAAGCTTGTGTTTGCGTTCCTCTTCTTATAATTGTTGTCTTATGCACTTAGTTTGTGTCCGACGAAGGAACTGATTTCAGCAAAGGCTTGGATTGCTTGCACTTAGAGGCAGGGGAAGAGTAACGGAGGCATATTTTTATCGGCTGGTATATGTTGCAGGTTAATTGCAGGTTGCAGGTTGAAGTGAGCTGTTTAATCCAATTGAAGTTGAATAAACTCCAATATAAAGGCTAACCGCAAGCAACCTAAACTGATCAAGGCTCACTGGAGTGCTATGTAGGCTATCCGGAGTTCTATGTAGAAAACTGAGACTCAAAAGTTCATTTTTCAACCTGCAACCTGCAACCTGCAGCCTGCAAAATATGTCTGCCCTATTTTCATGGTCTTTCATCACTGATCCGGAGAGAAGGAAAATCGCGTGAGTGCTCATGAAAGGCCACAGTTCTGCTTTGAGGACATGGTTTAAAACCAGTACGCAGATAACATTCGGTGCGAACATTTCCGTATCTCGAGGCAAACGTTGCAATCTGGTTAGTTGGTTCGATGAGACACGAACATGAGACGCGCGATTCCAGCGGAGAAGCGAGTAGCTGTTGTATTTCCGATTTGACAGCCTTGTCAGATAAATAACCGCAAGCGACTCCTCATTGGCCGAATGTTATTGCCAGGTACCTGGTTTGGTGGCTTAAATTTAATGAGAATTACATTGAGGTTTGCCGACTCACTTAGCTTTAAGTGAGTTGGAAAAGTAACTGTTTTCACGGGATTTCCGGTTCTCACTGAGCGACCTGAAAAACCACGGCCTGAGAAATGAAAGATGCTAGGCAACATCGTGAACAACAATAATAATAACAACAACAACAACAAAAACAAGTGTCATCTTAACTGTTTAAGAAAATGTAAAATTCATTTAAAATGAGAAAAAAAAAAAAGAAAATCTGGTTAAAACTATTTGGTCATTCACCAAAGTCTCTTTTTCTACAATCGCAATATTAGTGACCGCTATTTAACAGTTTGCATGTTCAACCGATACAGGTTCATCAACAAAAATCCGCGCCAAATGCCTTCAAAGAAAAGTTCCTTTGAAAAGCTAGTCTGTTACAAAGGCGTGTACTTCCAGATCCGATTTTGCGAACCTTTTCAAAGAATTCAAATAGCAGTCTCAAACACTAGTCTACTTCGCAAACATTTAACAGTGATCCTTACCGTCGATAACCTGTGAGAAAAAGATTCCCTTCCATTTGTACTCTGTGTGAGACGAAGGGGTGTTTGTTCCTGTTCCCTCTCGTCTCCCGATCGCCGAGCATAAAAAGAGAGAATCTCTTTCTCGCATGGTGAACCTCGAATATAGGTCATGAAGTATAACACACACTGGCTAAAAAGGTAAAAGGTACCGCAAATCCGTTTATAGAGGAGACCACTCAATGTTTGTCAGTGCCTTGACAAACGCGGTGTCGCTTCTTGTTATAGCCAAAACATTTTACCTCTGTGCGGCAGCCCATCCACGCATATGGACACGGGATTTTGGTTAAGGGGCAATAGTCTTTAATGTGATTTGAAACCTGCAAGAGAACATGGCCTGAGCACATTTGGTTGACGCCGTTTACACTTAAGATTGCGGTACTGACATCTTTTTCACAATAATACTGATAAACAATTGGAATATGAGCTCATGAAAGGCGTGAAAGCTAAATGTAAAATTTAAAAAATCTACCTCGAAACATTAGAGAACTAGAAAAAGTTGCCGTTATGTGGAAGACCTCTAGCCACTGCACACGAATGGCTGATAGTATACGAGTAACTCATCCAATCAGATTGAAGTATTTGCGTTAGCATAATAACAGAATTTTACTAATTAATAAATAGGTTCTTCAATCTTCTAATGGCTTCCATATAGTAAGCAAATCATCTCAATGAAGCCGCATCGTTCACCCTAGCTCATATTCCCTGCTTTCATATTTGTTGGTCTCCTAAGACGAAAGCTATCAGATAGTTTGTTAAAAATCTATCCAGAACCTTCTCATGTGACGACGGCACAGTGATCTTTACTGTCACATGGGGATTAGTAAATCCGGCACAGCAGAGGAACAAAGTGTAACTTTGTTCACTTGCTCTGCTACTGCATGTTCATATTTTAAAGCAGTTAATAATAATTTGTTGTTGTCACTTACATGGGGAGAAAAAGTGTTTATTGACACATCTATACAGTTACTCATAAACGAAAGGCGAAAACTGAGATTCTAATAATTGCCGACGAGAGGACAAGAAGGAGTACTGAGGTGACTCACCATTCCTCGAGAAATTACTGCTTCGCAGTTGTTAGGACACCTCACTGGGAAGCGTTGACATGTTTCAAGATGACCCTGCAGTTCCTGCAATTAAAACGAAACACCGCAAGATTCGTGAATTTCCCCTACCAAAACACCCGTCGGAGACTCCCATATAAAAATGACAAGGGTGCTCATCGGAAATTTTGAAAAGAACCTCTCTAAGAGGTACCAAGATCCTGTTTTGTGGGCGTGGCTTGAAATGTTTTTCACCCCTAAGAGGTACTAATTCTTAAAAAAACAAAACTTCTGTCACATTTTTTCCGCTCAATACCCTAGAAGGTACAGCGAAAGCTCCTGCTGTGGACTTTTCGAGTCTAAACAAGATCCGTGTTTTTAGCCCCTAAGATAATAGAATACAATAGAAACTTAACAAGAATGGTTTAGTTTGGGCTATGCTAGTAAGCTGAAGTTATTAAAGAGTTTTTTGCGCATGAACGAATCAAACGAGATTCATGGTAAAAAATTCTTAATGTCCTTTGTTGTTGAATGTTTATAGTGGTCGATGCACCCAGCTATAGCTAAACCCAGTTAGTTCTCAAGCATGCCACTTAAACTGAAAGAAAGAAATATCTCGAATGAACATAATAGGTCTAAAATACCTACTGGCGGGAGGTAGAACAGTTAGCCTTTTACAGGCATGACCCGGAAAGCCTTCGAGGGTGCATGGCTGAAGGAGACGGAAAAAGAGTCGCAGGACTGCATAAGGCGCTTGCACTTTACCCAACATCCCCCGACGAGAAATTTCTTGGGGGCATAGCGGGAAGTATTGGAAGATAAGCTGCAGAACCACCACAAAAACCATGGCACGTTTGGCTCTAAAGAGGCCTTGGAGGAGCGAAGGCGCACGTGCGTCTCCCTTGGTCTATTAGACAGGGGACACCAGCATTTGGTAAAATCCGTCTTCGAGGCCTTGCCAACCAAAGACGACCTTGGACCTTTGCCTACAGGATCACAACAAGAGACAGGAGGGACACAGGCTGGGACAGCGTCAGAAAGCGACAACGAAAGAAGCTTGTTCATTACGCCGCTGGACAGGGCTGCTCCACTGACCTCGCCGTCACGTGCAAGTTCAAACGTCTACGACCTGGCGGTTTCAGAAGAGTTCATGCGTAACAGCACTGGTAGTACAAGAAAGAGGTCAAAGCGTCGTGCTCACGTACAGTCAAGTGAGTGAGAAGAGGCCTCGAAAAACACTGCTGAATTACTTCAGTCAAAAATAGAAATGACACTTAATAACGAAACGAATGTTACTGTACCGAGTTTAGGCGCAGAAAGAGTACTTTAAGTTGAAGTTACGACTGACCCAACTAATTGCATAATGATTGTATGTATATGCAGTTGAAAGATGAACAGAGTTTGACGTTAAGACTGACTACTTTTGTACACGTTTGTAGTGTTATTAAACTAGTGGCATTTTGAGTCCAGCCCTTTTCTTTAGAGAGTCTGCTGTTCTTCGCTCTTGAAATTTGAAATCGGAATCTCTCAGAATGGCCGTCCATTGTCCATATCCGTGCCTGTTAATTCCTCGCTAGAGAAAATCGTCCTCGTCTGCCGTGAATTTCATCACCCGATGAAGTTTCCTCTGATTTCGCAGGTTCTCGTTGGGAATGACAACCTTCCTGGGGAAGACAGGCTTGCCTTTTCCATAGTTTCAACCGACAGTGTCGAGCCAGAAGTTGAACTGCCAAACCTCGCCTGTACATCTTCGTCCACCTCTGAACCCTTGCTTCCTTGAAGCTTCTGTAGACACTCGCGAGCCTTCACAGCAACTTCGAGCGATCTCCGCTTTTGAATTTTGTTGTTGTTGTTGTTGTTGAAATTTCTTTTTTTTTTTTAACAGTACAATAAAATACATTACTTACAATACTACATACTCTCCGCTTTTGATAGTGAACTTTGGCAACAGGAGAACGGTGTTTCTGGTCTTCCGACAAAATCCTTTGCTCCTCGCTGGTGAGCTGATTGAGTCTTTCCGTCTCAACAATTTGGCGATAACGCGTAGGATGAATGTACTTTCCAATAGCATCAAAAAGCAGTTTGCTCATAATTTCGCCCAATTTACCGCGATGGTCACCATTTCTGTTGACGAGAACGAAATCACACTCGGGTTTGAGCAGCGGTCTGACCTACGAGATGTAGCCATTGAGCACTTGCATGTTTTCATCGGTCAGAATCAAAGAATCAAATCCATACTTTCCAGCAGTCTTGAACGTTTTCTGATCAATGAATCGGCCCTTTTCGCATTAATTCCTTAGCTGTAGTAATCATGTCCACCGTCAAATATTGATAAGTCATGGAACGCGACCCCTTCACTCTGAAGAACAGAAACATGGCAACGAATTTCGTGGCAAATGTCAAGTATGAAGGGTTAACTTTAGCTGGACTCGATTTGCAAATCTTCACGGTATTTTCGTAACGCGGCAGATGAAATTTCACCACCTCCAACAACTCCTCCATTGTTGCCCAGTGGATTCTTGCTTCCAGTGTTTCAATGTCAAAATCTTGCGTCCACTGCAATCTCATCATTTTTGCAATCGTCTTTCGCGCTCTTTTGAGGTACAACTCTGTTGCAGAGAACTTTCGAAGAACTGCCTGCGGCGCGCCATGAAGTTTTCTGAAGTCGATCATTTCAGAAATGCCATCTTTGTAGCTCCCCTCAGCGTTTTCTTATTATTATTTCTTTAAGTGACTGTCGCTCTTAATGAAACAATGCTCTGTCTATAACTGGCACCGTTACTACTTATATTTCTTTTTATATTTATATCCGTATGTTTTTTTTCTTTCTACCTCTTCTTTTCTTTATTTTTCTTACAAGCGATTTAAAGCGTAATAATTCTTGTAACTACTCAGCTCGTTTAGTTTTTATTATTTTGAGTAGTTTTTCTTTGCTTATTTAAGTTGAATGTACTTTGCTGTATGATATTCTCTGTATTATGCAAAATAAAATGGTTGTTGTTGTTGTTGTTGTTCCTAAATGACCAATTTGGGAACAAGCTGTTCCATTCACAGATAGGAATTCGGAACAAAACGGTCCTAGATTATCAATTTGGGAACAATATGTTCCTTTCACAGATAGGAATTCGGAACGAAACGGTCCCAAATGACCAACTATATGGAACAAATTGTTCCATTCACAGATGGGAACTCGGAACAAAACGATCCTAAATTATCAATTTGGGAACAAATTGTTCCATTCACAGATAGGAATTCGGAACAAAACAGTGCTAAATGACAAATTATGGAACAAATTGTTCCATTTACAGATAGGAACTCGGAACAAAACAGTCCTAAATTACCAATTTGGGAACAAAGTGTTCCATACACAGATAGAAATTCGGAACAAAAGAGTCCTAATTTGTCAATTTAGGAACAATGTGTTCCATTTACAGTTGGGAACTCGGAACGAAACGTTTCTGATTTACACTAGAGTGAACGTTTTGTTCCTACTGTGTAAGAAGGCTGATCCTCTTATAGTTAACAGAAACACGAAACCGGGGAACAGTCGATACTAGAGGAACGTTCCTTTTGACATCTCGGAACGGCCAGCGAAACTTAAAATCAGAGAAAAAACAGGGAAAACTTAAGATAAGATAAGCGCTTACGTGAAATAGAAGCAATCTTCAAAATCTGATTAACTTTATCTCGCTTAAAGGCAGCAAAACATGCAAAGGTGAGATTTTGGGAAATGTATAGGACGAGGAGGAGGATTATGCTGTGCTGTTGCAATTAGGAATGGAATTTAGAAAAAAAAGCACAGATTCGTCACCCTCACCTTGTCCCTCAGGTTTAGAGCGCCGCACTTGTATGGGCAGGTTAATGGACGTAATTTACATTTTTCTCGGACATGATCCTAAAAGTAAAAAGAAAAATTGATATCTCTCAATTCTCATAACATCACCTGCGTATACAATTTTTGGTACAATAGGCTAAAAGCATCACATTTGTTTTTCAGAAAACGGCAAAACCTTGCTTCTTTGCCGCAGTGGAGTTGAATAACTGCACGTGTTTTGTATATATAAAAAATATATTGCCATTCCAAAATATGGAGAGTTTCATGTTTTTGTAACCATCTCATTTTTCAATAGTTAACAAACATTTTGGCCCATATTTTAGCGATTTTCTTAGTGACTCTTACTCATAATCAGTTGGAAAAGCTATCTTACAAATCTGCGAAACGAAGAGCTTATTCTAATTTTTCCGCGTGAAGAAAAAGGACAAACTCTTAGAGTGGAAGTGAAGAGCAAATGATTTCATGAGTTTGACGAGCCAATCAGGGCGCGAGAAATGCACTGTACATCATTTTGGTATATACTAAGACAAGTATTTCAGTATTTGCATGCTGACAACATGTGATCACTTTTAATTTTCCAGTTATATTTAATAAATGAATTGTAGGAAATTACACAATTAACGCAATCCAATGAGGAAGAACTGATCATGAAAAATTCCTTTATTTATTAAGAAACCAATTTGAAGGTTTGTTGAGTGCATACTGACTGGTTTCAAGATCGATCATTCAGCTCAAACTGTATCTAGTTAAAGTTTCACAATATATTTAAGTATAGCTCTCATCGGTTTATTGTTACCTCCATTTGACACTTTGGGTGTGGCTCACTGCAGAATTCACACAGTATAATCCTCCACTGGCACGTGACACTCACGTGTTCACTGAGGTCTTTGCTTTTCAATATAACTGGACAGTTTTCATTGGTGCAGGGAACATCTCTAAAAGGGCAGGGTGCCAAGTGAGTCTGTCGGAGAACCAACACGCTTTAGTTAAGATCGTTTACCTTCAAAACATCAATTCTTCACCGTCGACTATATTATTTACAGCAAGTCAACCATCATTCATTTGAAAACTCATACGTCACAGCACGCCTTTGTCTACTCTATACTTAGTGCGTACGTGTACGTACGCGCTTTTTTCACTTCTTGAAGATGGGCTAAACCCGAAACGTCTAGTTTACATGTACGCTACTATTTCACACTTTCAAGAGCTTTTTCAGCCTTATGTTTAGTTCATCGTGATGTCGACCTGAGTTGGAAGTTGACTTCCAGAGGGAGATTGATTGTTCGAATTTGATGGTGCTATTTCTCCTTCCACTGATATTAAACAAACAATCTGTACCTCTTTATATCTTAATTCACCAGTCCACTCACAACCATCACTTGGACATTTTATGATTAACGATAGAACCTTCCGCTCGGTTGCTTTGTCTGGAAAGATATCCTAAAAAGGAACAGAAAGTCTATGACTACTGAGGGATCGAATGGTACAATTTCATAAAGAACTCTGAATTATGCTCGAACACGTGCACTTTCGCCGAATGTAAGGAAGCATGCACATTGATCAATCATTACGAATGATTGCTTAAAAATTAATTAGCGATTACAGTTAAGTAATAAAACTAATTTCTAACAACAACCTTTAGGAGGAAGAGTGATCGGTCTATAGAAAGGGTTGAGAGAAGTTATAACCAAGGGTTTACGGTCATATAACCTGTTCAAAGGGTGGGGAATGGTCCCTCAAAAACTCTGGGTGTCACAAAATTTCACGGGCTCGCAGTGTCGCTTTTTAGGAGTTATGTGCATAGTCACGCGATTTCTTCACAACGCTGTCTCGCGATCTCGTTTCTTTGCATGGTTGAGGACGTCTCGAAGTCCCGTGATTGTTTGCTTGATTTTATAAATGACGTCTTCTCGTCACTAAGTATATTGAATTTTAATAACGCAACTTTCAATTTTTGCAAGAAAAGGTTAATCCGATTTTTTTCGCTAAAACGAATCTACATGTTACTTCAAATACTTCTGCGAAAACATTTGTGGATTCGCTTAAATCCTCGATTTTCTGTGCCCCGACGAAATCTCGAAAATAGCCCCAAAACACCGCCATTTTGTTTCACGACCGAGTTTGAGGAGAATGGGTCCAGCGGTTGTTGTGACGTCTACCCAGGAAGGTCGAATATTTCACGTCCTCTCATTTCCTTCAGGATGGTGCAATACACATTCGAAAAGTGCGCAGAAATGCCTTCCAGAAGTGCTATCGGCTGTTGCAGCAATATCCC